CCCATCTCTCACAAACTCCTCCATTTCACCGAGAACCTGTAGGAGTGGTGAGGAACAGTTCAACTGTCAGCCACCTTCTCTCAGACAGATGCATACTGAGGTTACCTGCCACTTCTCTGCCCCATGTTGCTGCCCAGCTTACTGCAAGCAACATGAACACCCCAAAGGTCAGTAATGGTGGCTTGTTACAGCTGTTTACTTGTGGCATTCCTTTAGAATGGGTCTACCCACCAAAAATGTAAAGAATCTATGAGTTTCTGCATGGCATTCTAATGCTTGGTTAAAATCCGTCCTCTTCATCACTATTTGGTTCAATATTTCAGGTCGACAAACACTCTGGGAGCTCTTACCCTGTGACAGGCATTGTGCTAGGCTTCAAGGAGCCAGAGTGGGGGACAGAGATTTGTAAACAGAATTCCTGTATAATGTTGGCAGTGATTTAAAGATTTAAAGAAAAGGAAGAAATTATAATTTGGGTAACTCTATATTTTAAGATAAAATTTTAAATTAAAAAAATGAATTCTATCTTAAAAGGTAGAATTGCCCAAATTAAAACTTATTTTAAATCTTAAAAGATTATTTAAGTGCTAATAAGAAATAAACATATATACAACCTAAAAGTAAAAAAAGAACAAACACTAGTTACTGAGCAGATTCTTTTTAAAATAAAGTTCCATAAAGGCAGTAAACTTTTAAATACTGCAGTAGCAAGGGCAAAGAAATAGGAGAGAACCTCACTTTAGCAACTTTAAATCTGTCCTTTGTTATGCTAAGAAATTACCAGGTGGTGGGTGATGCATTGCCCACCTGTGACTCTAGGGAAGGGGAGCTCCTTGTTATGATGCTGTTTTTTTCTTTTTTAAGGCTCTTTCCCTTGATATTTTTCTAGATAAAATCATATTTTATCTTAACTCTTTCAAATAACTTAAAGCCTTTACATTAATGCCTATGTAATCTGTCGAAAAATACTCTGGAGCCTTAGAAATAGAAATAGATGGACATTTTACTCTCAAAGAGCACTTCATTCATCTGGTTTCACTGAAGCTCTAGGACCAAAGCTGTTGAATGTGTATGTCAAGACCATACTGAGCACACATAAAGGAGGCAGACTTTTAAGCCGCTTTTCCTCGGCTCATGATGGAGTTATGTTCCAATAAACATGTTGTAAGGTGAAAATATCACAAGTCAAAGATGTGTTTAATACACCTAGCCTACCTTAACACCATAGTTGAGACTAGTTTACCTATTTGTGCTCAGAACACTTACATTAAGCCTACAATTGGGCAGAATCACCTCATACAAAGCCTATTTTATAATAAAGAGTTGAATACTTCATGTATTTTATTGAATACTGTACTGAAAGTGACACACAGTCTGCCGAGTATCAGCTGTTTACCCTGGTGATCATGTGGCTGGCTGGGCACAGAGACTGCTGCTGTCCAGCATCACCAGAGAGAACTGCTCTGCATATCGCCAGCCCAGGAAAAGATGAAAATTTAAAATTCAAACTCTGCTTTCTATTGAGTACATTCCTCTTGCATTATTGTAAAGTCAAAAAATGCTGAGTCTAACTGTTATAAAGTAGGGGGCTGTCTGTACCTCCAACTTGGTGGTTATAGAAATATTTTGTGTCAAAAAACTCACTATGGGCTAATGTAAAGTTTCTGACAAAATATCTGTAAAATACACAGGCATGGGGGAAAAAAACCTTAGAAAATTTTACTTCAATGGTCATTTCTGAATACGAAATACAGCCCTCTAACTTTATCATACCTAGGACATATAGAAGGTTATTAGATAAAAAGAGGATATTTCTCGCTATCTATGAAATAAATTGTCATTGTCTGGGAAAATATAAGGCTTATAGTTCATCAGACTATTCAAGATTCAGGAGTTTGAATGCTAAGGTTGTAACTGGGAATAATATATAAGAACATCATGATATATGAGAGATTCTATATTTTGTTTTTTATCACATCACCTCAACAGCAGTAAATTCTGGAATGGCTGTGAGTTTTAAAACTAAAAGAAAAAATGAAAGAGCTTTAGATTCACAATCAGCTAAATTACTCGAGATTAGAGAAAAGAGATGATTTGCTACATCTATCATAATATAAAAATATCACACCATTCTGAGTTCTGAGTTAAGCATATGGACTCCTGCAATTACCTATTATTTTAGGTAATAAGGATATCTCAGGAATTTCCACATATACATCTTTTGGAAAACTAAACTTTTAAATACAGACAAGGAAAAGAGGTGTCTAACCCACCCAGTTCTTGGTTCTATCATCTAAGGGGATAAAGGCAATTTGGAAAGGATTCCTTTAAACCTTACAATAATAGCCCGGAGAATAAGAAAATAAGCTATAGGAATAAATAATGAAGACCTGGGAAAGGATGGAAGGTTCTTACCTTCAGCTGCAAAAGATGATATGGGAGTTGTAGAGAGCAGAGAAGAAATGTGCAGAAGACAGAGACAACAAGCAAATCATTATTTCTAAAAAGTATAGCAAGTGAGCTCGCACTACATCATAAGGAACTCAGACTAGATATTAGCACTACACTCCTGATAGGAACAGCCATTAACATAAAATGGCTTGTTAAAAGAGATAATTAAATCTCTTTCTCAAAATATCAATTAAATGAATATAAGTCTTCATCCTTCTGAGATAGTTTAGATATTGCCTTCTCCAAAGAAAAGGAATGGGCAGGCTTGTTTTCCAAGGCAGTTTTTGATTCTTTAATTACATAGCATTGAATCCACAGTGGTTACCCTACTTTTGACTAAAAAGTCACTGAATTTAAAGTTTTTTGAACAGTAGTGGTTTTAGTGAGTCCAACTCCTCATTCTCTGCCTTGGGAGATAGTACATTGGACTATAGAGGTTGGCAAACTAGGAGCCACAGGCCAAATTTGACCCATCCTCTGTTTGAATAAGACCTGAAACTTAGAACAGTTTTTATATTTTTAAATAGCTGAGGAGAAATCAAGATGATGTTTCATGACATATGAAAATCACATGGCATTCAAATTTCAGCATCTATAAAAACAGTTTTAATAGACTATAACCCACTCATTCATCTGTCTATTATCTACGCTGCTCTTGAACTCCCTGGGCACAGCTGCTACTCGAGATCCTCTCTGGCCCTTGTTTGCTGAACCCTGGTGCAGTGGAGGAAGCACGGAGTCTAAAGACACATGGGTGTGATCCTGAAATTATAACATGCCTCAGTTTTTTGATCTGTAAACTGGGGACAAGAATGGTAGTTACCTAAATGGTTTGTTATGAGAATTAAATGAAGTTTTTTAAAAAACTAGCACCTGATATAAAGTAAGAATCCAGTAAATGCTAGGTATTTTTGTTATTACACATGAAGAAATTCTGATCCACAGGGATGAAGTGACTTTACAAGGTTACAGAATTTGCTAGAGGCAGGCTGGGAGAATGTCCTGATTCTTCTGACCTAGATGATTTTTAAAAAATTTTACTATATTGCCTGACCCCAAACAAACATTCTTATGAAGTTTTTCTTGGTTTCTAAACTACCTTAAGGTTACTTTGAACGAAAACTTTAGTTTCATCATACTGATCTCCTATCTATCCTGTTACCCATAGTTGCCCAAAGGCACCTTGAAGAGATTTTCAGGTCTCTGCTTCAAACTTATAAAAATTAATATTTTTCTTTATGTTGTTTAAAAAGAAAAAGAAAAATAGAAGTCCTTACAACTCAAACATGACACATCTGGTATTAAAAAAAAAATACTGCAAAAACTTCAGAAGCAAATAATTAGGGCATGCATCTGGACCTAAAGAGCCCAAGCATAGCAGACCAGCCCATGGGCACTCAAGGATACTGGCTATGCCCTGTCTAATGCAGCCCACTTTTCTTTTTCTAATGCAGTCACTTTTCTTTCTTTTAGACCTTGTACATTACCATCACCATCTCAGGTTTTGCTTATTCTATGAAGTCTCTTAATCCTAGCAGGATGTCTGCTTTCTAGGTCTGGACAACCACCTTTTTTTGGGAGAGGTCTTTTTTTTCCACCTTTTTTTTTTTCATAAGAGGTCTTTCTTCATTAAATTCACTCCCATGTGGTCACTCCATTATGCCATGTTTCCTCATCAGTTGGTATACACTTTTAAACAATTCTACATTTGTCATTGGTGTCTAATTGTTTTCTAGTTTTTCTTTTTCTATGTAATACAGTTTATCTTGTAACAAAACTGGAATTTCTTAAAATTATGCACACACCTTGGTGGTGGTGGTGGGGGTAATCACCTCATAGTAATTAAGGCTAATTTACATAGAAGGCATTAAGAAAATGCTTCTTACTAGATGAATAGCTACAAATACATCCTAGGAACAGAATTTCAACTTTAGGGATAAATAACACTTTGAATTACCACTAAGATTGTGAAAATGATAATTTGTTAGTACGTGGATTTAAAGATCAATCATCCAAATTAAAACAAATCAGAAGTATAAAATCACCTTAATTAAAATGGAGCATACAACCCACAATAGGGAGATTAACTCTAGATCCTTAATGCTTACTTTTTCAGATACATTAGCTCTATGACACTAGAAATTGTTAGCTCTGATGTGAATACTATATGCATTGGTAAGCCTTATCTAAGTATTTTTTAAAATCCACCTATAAAGGATTATGTTGAAATCCCACACAAGCATAATTTTCATCTGCGTGTATAACATACCTATAGCAACATTACTTAATATATGAGTATGTGAAGTATATTTTATTATAATAGTAGACAAGCAAACTGAATGTGTCCCAGGAAGGGGTCTTTTCCATTAACTTTTATAAAGGCTTTCATTTCAAACTTTCATTAACATTTGACAAGCAAGCTGAAAAAGCTTTGCTTAGAGCTTGGATTAGGGGCAAAATGCATTTTTGGCAAAACTATTCCAAGATTACACTGACTGGCTGTGCGAGAATATACTAATTTGTTTTGTTTTGTTTAGTTTTGTTTGGAGTGTGGAGAAAAGAGAGAGAAAGGGAGAGAAGAGTCATGGACCCTACTTTATGGTTGCCATGGAGGCAAGGTCAGCCTTTCACACTTGGATCTACCAGCAGAGTTCAGACAGGTCAACGTGTGACCGGCTCAGGCCCTGGGGTTAAAAGTTCAAGCAGCGATGGAAAAACCAATATGTCCACGCAGAGTATGCTGTACAATTTATTTCAATTTACATCAAGCCATGCATATAAAATTTAGATAAATTCCATTCAAATCTGATGTTGCCTGACACACAATGTATGCAAACAGATGTCTGTGGGGCTTTTTCTGTGCTTTAGAAAACAACATTAAATTTAAAAATATGTCTCTGGGATTTCTTTATTGAATTACAAAATGAACATAATTTTAACTTAAATGTTTTCATTCTTTCTTCCAATTTTTTTATGTGGGGGTCTTAATAATTTCTCAGTTCTCAATCTACTCTATGTCATATTAAAGAGGATAATGTATATTTACAACCACAGCTTCAGTGTTATTGTAGTTATAGATTCTATTTATATCCCTTACCACTTTCCACAAATATTTAGTGATTGATATTTCTGATTTATCTCTGGCTGCTGTAACCCTCATCTCTTTTCCTTTCTACTCAGAACTGAGGAAGGGTCCAGAAGGCTGCTGGGTCTTTTTCCAGCCACAAGGTGGCTCCCCCCACCCCTTCTCTCAAGCCAACAGGGTGTACACCTTTGCTGGGTGATCAGGCAGACTAGGACCCAAAGGCTAATTATGACCTATAAATACCATCATTTATGAATTGTGAATTCTGTGGAGCCAATGGATCACAACTCAGACCTGGCACAATAAGATACAATGCAAAATGGGTCCTTAGAAAGAAGAGAAAGGAAAAGACCTTCGTGTGCCTCCTGATTACTCTCTACCCAGGCTTCCAAGGGTACAGATGACTCACCCTACAGCAAAATAAAAAATTAATGAGTCACCCAGAGGAACCTAATTTTGTTGGCAAATAACTGTCACAGACTAGAAAGGTCAAATCTTAGGAAAAGTATACAACTTATTCTCACTCAAACTAGAGCCCACATTTGGAGCAGGAAAGGGGTTTGAATTTTCAGGTCTGGTAACCTCAAGAAAGTTTTCATGAAGAATTTGCAGCACTTCTTAGGAGCCCACCCCATGTCACAGAGGAGGAACAGGGATCCCTAAAAGTGCAAGGCTTTAACAGAAGTAGAAATATTACATGGTTATTGCTTGCTGCTTAGAAAACAGGTCCATATTTCATATTTCATAAGATTTTTATAGAATATATCATCATTTTCTACAGATAAGAGAGATATAGTGAGACAAATCACTCATCCAATTACAAAGAATGTCTTTCTAATAGCCTGAGTCTTAATTTCTCACACTTTCCATTTTCTATTCTGGGAAAAAGGTATTTGGTAAGTTTCACTTTCCTCCTCTACATTGGAAATAAAGATGGGACCTATTCCTCATGGGATTTTTGTCAGGATAAAATGAGTTAATATATGTAAAGCACTTATGTGAGTCATTGGTACTTAATAAGAGACATACAAATGTTTGCAATTATTGCTATTATTATTTATTTGAGTCAGTATCTTCTCATCTGCAAGTATTTTGTGACACGATCATTGAAAGAAAATGAACTTTCATGGATTTTGTAAAGACATGAAGAGTATAATTCTGATCAGGGGTAATTGATGGTGTCTGGGCTTTTTCTTCTTCAAAAACTTAAAAATATATAAACAACCCCCTCCCATTCATGATATTACTTCCAGTATGACATTAAAAAAAGTAACTCCTGATTTCCAACTCTCAAGCTTATTTTAGGTATCATTTAGCAAACATATCATTTTACTAAGGCAAACAACCACAAGTGGTAGCTCTATTAACTTGGTTACAATATTCATACTGCAAATGTTTTAATTTTCACTATATTAAAAAAAAAGTCTTCAGGATCTTACTTGTACCAGGATATAACTTTGTTAACTTGAACACATGAGTCTCCTGCTTCTAAAAGTAAGCAAACATTTTGAATTTCTTGGTAAGTACCATCTTAACAATGTTCAGACAAATTTTCTAAAGGTATAAATGATATCCTTAATTGAAGGTGATCTACAGTGATTCAACCATGAACAAAAGTTTATGGGGATATAAAATCCTGTATTCGTATAAATGTTTATATAAGGAATCCTTTTTTCTAAAGGAAGGTTTTGTATACATTGATATGAATATATATACACATCTCATTATGTATATACATATATGTTCATGTGTGTAAATATATATGGACCACATATATTATGAATAGATGGAAATATATATTTAGAGACAAGGTAAGATAAGTGAATCAATTTTCAATAGTCAAGGAAAGGAGTATGACTTTTTTTAATACCTGCTATACGGTCATGCTACCCTTTATTCTTTATTATCTCTGTCAGCCACTACTAGGTGCCTTGTAGACAAATGCTAGTCCTAGTCCTGACCATTTATTTTTATTTGGAATTATCTCAAGCCTAACTCTTTAAAACTGCTTGAAAATGCTTCCCTGATATGTTGGCCTTGTACCCTGGAGTGAGAGTTAGAAAAGGGGGAGATGGAGAAGAATCCTTATGCAGAGAGAATTTCACATCTTTTTTGAGGAAGGGCTGTCTTGTTTTTGCCTGCACTTGCACAAATACAACTTCAAAAGACCCCTTTTCCATTCTGAGCAATGTGTGTGTGTGTGACCAGAAGCAGTGTCTTTTGTTGCCAGAAGCAGTTTTTGCTGCATGCATCAACTTTCACTATATTCTTAGCAACTCTTTCTTTTATGCCAGTTCCAGACATCAGTTAACAGAACCCCTTCAAGAACAGATGTACTGAAGAAATGCATCCATTTGTTATTTGTTACAGTTTGGGGGTGTCTGTCCTATGGGTTTTCTAGCCAAAGGCTTATATGTTTCCCAAGAGAAATTTACTTTCATGAGAGAAGAAAATTGAGGCGAATCACTGCTGTTAGACCCTGAAGTCAGAGACACTGGCTGCTTGTCCTTCTGTACATGTGAAGAAAAAGCCCACAGTTACAGAAACAGTCATGTTTCAATCCATCTCTCATTCTTTCCCAGTGTGAAAAATTATAAATGAAACCAAATTTTTCTCTGTCAATAGAATGTGTATGATTACAGCTGTTCATATTTTCACTCTAATGAAGGCCTGCACATTTAATTGTAAGATTTATTAGGTTCTGTACACTGCCGTGTACATGCAAAACAGTTAATCGACATCTAAAATGCTGGTTGTTTATTCTGACATTAATGATCATATTTCTTAATTTGAAACAAAAAGCATTTGGGGAAAATGTATTTTGTTCCCTCCAAATAAGAAATTAATAAATTCAATGTAGGAAATAAAAAGGGCTGGAGAAAAAAAATATTGATTTATGTATGTGAGGCTGAGGAAAAGCTAAAGATGCTTAAAAAAAAAAAGTCCATAATCCCCCATTCTGCTGGAAACAAGAGAGTTGATTGCCAGCTTTGTTTGATTTCACAGAGATCTCATACGAGGCTGGGTTCATAAACAGGTGAAATGATGGAGTTTATTGCAACGCACATCAACACTGAAACTAAATAACTGTGTTGCCATCTCAGTCCCGCTGAAAGACGGATGGTAAACTTGACCTGCCTCTGGTACTATCCGATTGCCATTTTTTATTCCCCCTTCACCGCCCCCCCAGGCTGAGCCACGTTGAGTAAATGCATGTGCACGGTCAGGTCAGGCCCCGGGATCGGGTGAAACTCGGTTCACATTTGCATACAGGCGGAGCCTCACAATGAAAGCCCATCTGTTCCCGTCTCGGAGTACAAATCGAATGTCACCCAACTCACTGCAAACGACAGCAGCATGGCCATTAGATGGAGGAACACTCAGCTCAGGTTACGGATATGGAACTGCTGATTTGGGTTTAAATACCTGATAACTGAAGACTTTTCATTATATGTGAACAAAGAATGAACTCTGAACTGCTGAAGAGGTACCCTCTCCTCACACTGGGCTCCCCTACTTCTCGCCATTACTAATACTTAACTGCTATATTTTCCACTGTCTCTATTTTTGTATAAAAATTAGCCAAGCTGAATGTCACAATGTCCTAAATAATTGCCTTTTTTTTTTTTTTTTGGAAGAGGTGGAGCAGCAAGAGATGTTGTAAATAGAAAATGAACTCTGAACTTTATATGCCCTCAAAGGTCATTAATATCAAGGCAATGTTGTTCCTTGAACTTCTAAATTTTACCAGGGTAGAAATTTTGGTTGCTAGAGTTAAACCAAAGTGTGGGCTGCCCCTCCCTTTATCCCTCCCTCCCATACCTACTCTGTGAGGCACCTGACTCCTGGAATCTTCTCCACTCACAGGCCTGTTTATCCCAAAATAGTTTATCAATCACAATCCACGTCAGAGATTGTTTTTCTGTTAAAATTTGCCAAGTATTTTCCCGCTTACAGATAGAACTCACACACATTCTGACACACACAAAAAGATAGATTTGTTCAAGAAGAGACCCCAGGATAACAAGGCCAAATAATAAGGATAATTAGGTCAAAATCATTGATTTGACCTAATTACCTGATACATCCCTTTCTTTGCAAGGTGAAAGCTAAATGTGTGAAAGATAGACACAAGGAAATTCATGGGCAAAAACGTGGCTAAGCTTTTCTCAAAAGCCTTCTTACCCTGTTAGAAGGTAAGAATTTCCTATGAGAATCTTTCTGAGGAGGACACAAGCACCTGGGGTTTGGTTACTTGTGTTCAGCTTTGAAATATTTCTGTGTTCTGTTGCATGAAGACATTTAACATGAAACCACCATTTTCGTCATCAGCAGCCTGAGCGCCAGTGCCTGTGTGGCTGCAGGTCCACACTGGGCTCCTCTGTAAAGCAGAGATAGCAGGCTGGTTGGCGACACTGCTAGGATTCCAGTCAGCATAGTGTCACTTTATGAATTGCAAATGCATCTGATTGGGTGAAAAAAAAAAACATTTTAGACATATCTGTATAAGAACTTCCCTGATTTGCTTTAAGCAATTATATATTCCCTCCCACCCCTGGCCTGTATTTCTTTCTTAAAACACTTACTAAAACAACCTTACAGCATTTAATGTAGTCTGGTTACACATGGGATCCATAATGTTTAAAGGCCATTGGGTCTCCTCAGTCAGGGTTTCTTTACCACTATGTGAAACTATGTTCTTATTGTTTGTCCTTTAAAAATAATACCAGGGTGAAGAAAAGATTTGAGGGCTTTTTCTTTTTTCATCCTAGGCAAGAGCTTACGGTCAACCTTAATGGAAGTTCTACATGCATTAAAAGGGAGAATAGACCCTTTGTTTCAGAAGAATGACCAAGACAAGGGTGAATTTTGGTTCCACTTTGTCAAGTTTAAGGGGAAACTGAATTCAGGAAAAGAGGGAGGGGGGTTGTAAATAACTATCTTAGCTTTCTCCCCATTGTCT